CTTGGAGCCGGTTCCTATGCTGCCAGGGTTAGTGCCTCTGTGCTGTCTTTCAGTCCAAATTTGTCCAGTCAGTGGTAATTTTTCGATATCAGCCACTTCTTCTATTTGACGGTGGTACATACCGTGCAGAGGTTTGTCCTTCCATGAGGGTTCCTGCTCTTCCTTCCCTAGTTCCTGTGGTTTCTGTTGCCTGAGGTATTCACTAAGCACGTCATCAGTCGGGGCCATCTTCCTGATGTATTCATGGATCTTTGTTGTTTCTGGATAGTGGCTCTGATGTTCACTAATCCTCGGCCTCCTTCCTCCCACCAAGGAAATTGACATCCCACTATGTGGCTTTTCTCCTCAACCTGGGTTCAGGGATAACTCCATGCAGGAATTCAGGAATTCGGTTCTATTAACATGTCACCATTTTGCCTGATAAAAACATGAATACAAATGATATGAATCATATCTGCAATGTTGCCCCTTAATTCAGAGGTTATATTATGTGGATTGTAGATGTTTTCTCATCAGAGTTCCAGGAAGCATCTGTCTGTCATGGCCATCCCTTTGTAAGTTAAGGTTGATGAAGTGCTCTTCATAATTTGAACTGCAATCAGCTGCTGATTTGGCTTGGCCTGATCTAAAAGAAGTAGGAAAAAAAACTCGGTGGCCTTGTTTAGAAAACATAAATCATACAATGTCAGTCACACCATGTTCAGCCAGTGACAGAAAGCACACATTTTTTTTCCAGAAAAAAAAAACACATCTTTCTCCAACCAAACCTCTTTTTGCTAGAGGCTGAAAATATGGTGCAAATGTGGCTGAAGGGTTTTGATAAGTCCATGAAACTCTTCAGATGTAATTTTTTTGCATCAAAACTCACTCTATATATTTAAACCTTTAAATAAATTTTGGTACTAACCTAACTTTCACAGGCTTTGATGTTAGTCAAAGTTGGTGATTATAACAGGTGGGCGGACGACCGTAATGATCTCTGAGGAAGATTTCTGGATAGAAGATCTGATAAATATGCAGGGGCAAGGCCATGCAAGGCTTTAAAAACATATTGCACTCTCCATTTCATAGGTAGCCAGTGAAGGGACGGCTAAGATTGGGGTAATGTGAGCATATCGACGGGGGGCAGTGAGGAGCT